AACTCTAAAACATGATTAGCAAATTCACTGGTGGGAACAAGTTGGGTAGGGAAAATTTGTTAATACAAGAGGGGGATTCATTTGAAATGATTGGTTTAAGCCACAAGGGGAGTGCATGCTGAACTACATGGTTTCCCCAATATGTTGTCAACCACCATAAACTACTGGGAGGGTCATCTGGCATTCCATGTATTTTCCCTGTCTCATGTTGATTGGTGGTTGCTATGGGGTTGCTATAGGTAATCACCTAGCCAGACTGAGTCAGGGACACATGGCTCCACAGATATCTCCTGTTATTTGTAGATAAACAACTCAGTAGGGTGGATATGTGCCTAGGAGTGCTCTGTGGGTCTTTCCAAGGACAAGGGTCATGCCTTCTTCCTTGGACAGGCTTTTCTCTGAGGGAGAGGCTGGTTTCTTAGTAGAATACTTGCCTAGTATGTGTGAGGCAGTGGGTTTGATCTTCAGTATCACATAAAAAACTAATAAAATAATCTTAAAAATCAGTCTCTTCTACTAAATAAGATAGTATAGTTAGGTAGTTTGGGGGAGAAAAAAAGTTGTGATGTATGTAATCAAGAGGAAGAAATAAAGAATGTCCACATTCTTCTGCCCTTTTCAATGCTCTATTCACTCAAATAATTAAATGGAAGTTTACTTTATAGGTCTTAATGAAGAAAATGACAATCCTCAATGCTAGGCACTGCAATAGACATAATCAATTCACAGCAAATAATTCTAGATTAATTAATTCACAGCAAACAAATAATTAATCTATATTAATTATTATTACTGCAAATACACTTAATCATGACAGGCTAATGACAGAAATTCTCTCTTTGTGCTAAGTTCAAAAGCCCCATTCCTTAGGCTTTAAGTCCAGCAGATGCACACTCAGATCACAGTGGTCAGTTTAGGAACAAGGCAGACTTCTCCATGAATGGAGTTGATGGCTAGTTGAGGAGAGGGTCATAGAGAGAAGTTGTGGCTCTCACCAGGGTCAAGATGTTAATGGAGAGTTTGAGAGCAGTGAGGATCATGCAAATGATGACAAGTGATGAGATGTCATTCCAAGTCCTCATCAGCCTCACCAGCTCAAGTGCATCTTTGTTTCAGCTTGCTGAGTTTCTGTTTATTTACTCTATTATTTATACTAAATTTTAGGGCTTTTCAATCCATATTAGTTACCACCAGATTTCTCCATGACATCATTTACCCTGGGGTTAGAAACATCTGGTCTGGTTGTCTCCACTCTGATCTTACTGCTCTTTTCTCTTATCACGTGAGAACAGCCTGCCAGAGGCTTCACTCTGAGTTATCTGAAAGAGAGGAAGTGATTTGTTTATGTCTGAGGGCCATACTGGAGGGCTTCATTAGGCATGACTGGTGAGACTGCAGGTTTGAAACTGAAGTTTTTAAAATGGAATTGTTTAGGCTCAGACCAAGGCCATCTTCACAATAGTGTAGTTAATGTGTCCCAAATTAAAACTGATTATTTTATTTAATTTTTACTAGGGAATGAACTCAGGGGCACTGAGACACATTTTCAGCCATTGTTTTTTTTTGTTTTTTATTTTGAGACAGGGTTTCACTGACTTGCTTACTCCCTTGCTTTTGCTGAGGGTGACTTTGAACTCATGATACTCCTGCCTTATTCTCTTGAGCCACAGTGATTACAAGCCTGTGTCACCAGATTCACTTTTAATTCAGTTTTTAAATATGTAAGACAAGTTTATTAAAATGACCTTTAGAAGCATTCCAAATATTCAAGCAAATTTCTTTGTCCTGGTGTGAAAAAAATATAAAAGTGAAACTGGACTTGAATTTAAATTACAAGCAAGTTCAATTGCAAGGGCTTAATTAAGAACACAGTGAATTAAATGGTCACAGGCCATGGCAATAACCTGATACTATATATATATATATATATATATATATATATATAATAAAATAAACCAAATAAATAAAATAATGAGCAAATAAACTAATTTATTAGTTGTAGATGAACACAATACCTTTATTTTATTTGTTTTATTTATTATTTTTATTCTTTTTTATTTTTATGTGGTGCCAGTATCAAAAACACTGCTTCATGCATACTAGCCAAGCACTCTAGCACTGAGCCATAATCCTGGCCCCTTAACTGGTAATTTTTTTAATATTTATTTTTTAGTTTTAGTTGGACACTGTAGTTTTATTTTATGTATTTATATGTGGTGCTAGGAATTAAACTCAGGGCCTCATACATGTAGGCAAGCGCTGTACCACTAAGCCACACCTTCAGCTCTTTCTTGGTATTTTTTAAATATCTGTTTTACATAAATTTTAATTAATAACCTTAACCTTTTTCCAATATCTGTTTGGATTAAATCAATAACCCAGAATTCAGTGAAGCAGAGTCTGGTTTTATCTCAAACTCTGGTTTTACTTTCTCTGTCTTTTTCAGACTAACACACTTTAACACAGTGAATTTACTGTGTGTTGTGTCCACATTCCAAACTCACATATTTACCTACTCCTTAGTTTTAGAAAGGTCTGACAGAATTTTAACATAGATACCAAAATCTGTTAAATTATGTAGAAATTACCAACATCTGATTCTTGCCTTCTAGGGAGCAGTTTGAATTATAAGTGAGCAGCCTCTAAGGCAAGTAGATGGATGCTCTGCAGCTGGAA